TTTAATATTCATACTAAGTGTAACATTGACTATGTACTGCTGGCCAACTGCAGAGTATTTGACTTTGTGTACGCAAGAAATGTGATGTCTATTAGATTTGCAAGAATTTATGAGTATAGGACGACCTTACTGGAGATACTGAACCTCCCCAAAATACATTGCGTCTCTTCAGACAGTTCAATGGCGGACTGTGAGGCAAATGGTTTAAATAATTTACTGTTTGATAAAATGATTACAAATAAATAAATCATTTCTAGGATGCTACAAACACACACAAAATGTACACATGGTGGATTTTCAAGATGAGCAAATAATCAAAAAGCAGTATGTGTCTCTGGCAGATGACTGGCTGCTGTGCTCCAAAACTAATCGTCAGGGTCAAATTTGGTGTTGACCCTGTCAACTAGATCCATGTGTAGGGTTAGAGCTCTATATGTAGCAGCCTATCACAGATCCCGCGATAGTAGCCGTAGACTTCACACTGGTGCGGTGGGTTGGCAGAGGGGCGAAGCTGCAAAGCGGCATAAACAGCAGCTAGACACAAAACCGATGAGGTGGTTTTCAGCTGAGATGCCCACTGGATGATAGAACAGCCTGTGCACAGAGCACAGTGACATCATTAGATAATAGTTGAGAGGCGGAGCCTCAATGTGAACACATAGTAGGCTTGACATTAAAGCTTCTTTTAATTTAAAACAACTTTTCTCCAATATACTAAAGTGTTCAGCTATCTTGCATTCATTGAGGTAGAGTGTGAGATTTTTTTCCTGGTTTCTTTAAAGTCGCAATGAAATTTATTTGTGAGCACCTTTAGTGAAGAATTTCAAAATGACATCATGAAAAAGTCTGTACAAACACTATTCTTGTGACAATATTGTTCCGATTATTTTTTTGTGAAGTCAAAATCATAATTGTCAAAATGTTTACAGGATTCGGCTGTAGTTGGCTGCAGAATAGATAAAAATAGATAGAAACAGGCTTGAAGAATGCTGATAGAGCATCAGAAAAAGACAGAAATCAATATCATTTATACGAGCTTATGAACAAGGCTCCATGAATCTTTACGACACGGGGATAGTCGTTTGTCCAACCAAACAGACATGTAGAGTTAATAGTTTCCTATAAAAACACACACACACACTGCATGCAATCATTTTCTTTCTCTATATTTGCAAGAAGAAGCACCTTGATATATGTTCTCGTTGACAACACACATTCACAGACCCACTGACAGACACTGGCAGAGCATGTCCATTAGATCATTTATTTTGAAAGCTCAATGCGGTGCTTAAACTATATAAAGTAATGAGCCGCAGACCTCTGACAGGAGCTTGTGCGTATTTCAAAACTGGTGGGTGTTTGGGGATTTTCCCAACATCTTGCGCTGTTCAATATCATCACGTTTCAGTTCATTCCACTGTATTTCCATTTAAATTGTGCCCACCACTGGACAGTAACTCTACACGTCTAACCAATATTTATTAGATCTAAAATGTCCTACATTTGGCAGGATCTCAGGGACGGGTTTACACATTGTGGTTTTCAATCTGTTATGGGCGAAAAAATTTGATTTAATTCTCAAGAAACAAAGACTTGAGACTTAACTTGAACGCGTCAGTCAGACGAGACATTGTCCTTAAAATTCCAGCAGCACACCGAATCAGAACTATTCTTGACGACTCAATTTATTTTGTCACAGGTTATTGCACATACGATTTATAATCTGTATTAATCTATTTTATGGTGGTATATAGTTTATTGTTTCACTTTGAGTTCAATGTTTAGTTGAGTCCTTCTAATTCTCAGGACTGGGATGTTAGAAAAGGTCATGTGTTAGCTTCATGGATGTACCTTTGATGATGAGCATTAACACAGAGGTTAGCAGTGTGGTGCAACCGGAGCCTGAGAGTTTGTTATCGCCTCTGCAGGGCCACAGTGACAGAGGGGAGCAGATGTAATCGTACTGATTCGGTCAGGGAGGCAGGATGGTTAATGGAGTGGTAGTGATTAGATTAGCAGAGGCTGCTGGGCAATGTAGTGTTTCTAATTGAGTTGGTGGGATGTCTGTGTGTACCGTGTGTGTGCGTTCACGTCTTAAGCTAGTCTGTACAGCGGTTATAAGCCTGCCAGGTACAATCACTTTTATGGGTACTTCACACAAACACGCCCATGCAATCATTGCCTCATAAATCCCATAAACACGCATACAACATGTATCGTTACAGACAAGCAACCAGGTGTTCATCCTCGCAGCTAAATGTTGCAGTATGGCTTTTGCCTCATGACACCAATTAAAGTAAATGGCAGCAGATGAACTGCGATGTCAAGAGATAAACAGTCATAGCATGCCAATGAAACAGACAATCAGAGTGACGGAGGCAAACTTGCGCACAAGTGAATGCAGACGTGTTGAATACTTAGAGCCTGCATGTGAACAAGCTGCAAAAGCTGTAGCTAATATATAGAGAGCTAACTATAGAGAGCACTCTCATTAGGATGTTTTACAAAAAGCTATTTCCAGTTACACAGCAGCTGCACCATCTGATGAGTAATATCTGTCCCGATAATAGCAACACTTCCTGTATCTGCAGTCACTGCCAGAATTCTAAAGATTATTCGGGAATATTTGGGGTCACGGGTAAAAAGATTAAAACAGAACCCGACAGGGGTGAAAAAACGGCAGCCAACCGGGGTCGCCAACAGGGTAACCACAGAGAGGAGCCGTAGTGATTTCCATACAGATAAATAGGATTTAATCACATTTGTATTCTAGAGGAGAACCAGGATAGAATAATTGGAACAGGATTAGTGTTGAGTAGAAAAGGGTTAGGTGAGGTAGAAGTAAAGTAAGAAGAGAGGAAGACAAGCCAATGCCAAATTGATTTAACAAATGGTTCTGTGTGTGGCTAAATACTGTGTCCTATAACATCGTTACGCAGATGACACCCGGTTGTATGTTTCACTTAATCTTAAGAATTGATTAAAAGAACTATCTCGATGGGGTCTGCAGCTGAATACTGATAAGTTCTGGTAATTTATCCGGATCACATTTCAATCAATAATCAGCTTCATTTCCTCTCACCTAGACTGCAGCTCATGGTTTACTTGTCTTAATGGTGCCTGTCTATAAATGCTGCAGAATGCAACAGTAAGACTTCTAACAAACACTATATATAGAAAACATATCTCTCCGATCTGAGTAAAGTTACATTGGATCCATATTCATTTTAGAAATAAATGTATGATTCTGTGGAGTACATATTTAAGTACTTAAACCCTCTGTAGTTCATCTCCGCTTAACATTTCAAATAATGTAAACCCCTTATTCTTGACCAAGACCCTTAATATCTGACAACCAATTGTTCTTAAAAGTTCTACTGTCTTAAGACAAAGTGGGAGTGTGCTTTTGCTGTTTCAGCTCCAATACTGTGGAACTAATTCTCAGATCAGCTGAGTCACTGGCACATTTTTAAATCCCTTCAAAAAACCTCTTGTATAGACTTTGCTTTTCACCAATGAAGGCCTCTCAAGGATGGTCAAGTCATTACAGATACTGTTGCAAATCCTGTCAGTGAAAAGGAAGAAGCCATGGCAGGATAAGAGAAAGTAGGTGTAACAATAGTCAATTCTATCAGTTAAACAGTCAACTGCAGGAAAGAATTGGACATAAACTACATATATTTTTATATACATTTATATGTAACGGAATGAGATTATCTGAGAATAAATATTTCAACACAGCGTGTGTGTATGTGTATTACTGAAGTCTCAGTGAGACACTGCTGGAGTTATCTAGGTCATAACGGATGAATTTTTAATTGTACTGTCTTTAGCTTTATACAGTAACGAAAAAAGAAAATGAAAAAAGCAGCTAATCTCGTCTGTTAAAAACCAATGCAGCTGCACGTCTTTGGTTCTTCTTGTTATAAATAGGATTTATACAAATAGTTGCAGATGACTCTCTGGGCTCTAATTGTACAGCACCACTTAAACACGCATGCATGCTTGCAGATACACACACACACACACACCTTCCACACACTGAAGCTTCTGTTGCATGCTGGGTCACTGGGAAGGGAGCTACTGTACTTTACATAATGATACGATCTGTCCATTATTTCTGAACATTTTGCTTTTTACTGTAGAAGAATTCCGCAACAGAGAAATGTAGCTGTAGGCGATGCACAACACTTATGCCACAGATGAATAAAATATTTGCAGTTGTATCACAAAGCCCCTGGTAGCTGCAGATGCTATCATAAAGCCGCTGTGGTACCTTGATAACAACAGAAAGTAATATTCACATGCAACTAAAACACTGTAGCGGATAGCAAAATACTAACATCAGTATGCTGGTATGCTAACAACTACCAGTTTCACAATCCAAATATCACTAAACACAAAGTACAGCTGAGGCTGGTGGGAATTTCATTAGTTTTGCAAAGAATTGGACAAATTTTAATTTTGAACATTTTTTACAATTCACGAGGGGGACATCAATCTGCCAAATGTCATGTGAATTCATCAAATAATTGTCGACATCTCAATCTTCAAATGTCAACGTAAATGCGGTGCTTAAAGTCAGGCGATCAACAAGGCGAAATGTCTCATAAAAGAAGTGCGAATTAAGCGAGTTTCATTCAACTGGTTTGGGGCAAATGAACTTGGCTGCGGTGTAGTTTCGGCAGATTTTGGTGCTGAAGGCTACGCGTGACAGTTTGTATTCATGTTGTCTCGAGACAAAGACACTCATTCACATTCACATCGGAAAGATTGTGGTATAGGTTTAATCATTCAAAAAGTCTAAACTATAAGCTGTCAGCCAATAAAGACATACAAAAGTCAATTAAAAAGTCAAGTAAACCTTCATTGTTTCATAAAGTCCCTTATATACAGTATGCATGTATTTATATTTGTCTGCTTGTACCAAACACGATTGCTTAAACTTATACAAATTATCAACACAAAATTGACTTCCGCTTCTCTCTCTTCCTCTGCAGTCCTTGCTGCTGATTCGTCAGGAGATGGTGGTTTCCCAGAAGAAGCTTGGCGACTTTTGCGACGCTCTGAAGCAATACCTGAAGAATGTCTCCACTCAGAGAGACTGCTTTCAGTAAGTCTCACTACTGCTCCACATTTCCACAGCTGCCCTGCTGCTGCAGAGTGCAGTACCATAATCGCAATCATATTTAATATTTAATGTGCTCCGTTTTCAGTGTCAGGACCTCACTGTTTTTCTCACTTTATCAAGTACTACCTCAAATATTACCTCCTCTGTTCTCTGACGTTCACACACACACAACATTGTGTGTGCTTTCTGTGGGTAGCTCACCAGCATCTTTCCCAAATCGGAGAAAAATCTGCTCTAACTCCCAAGTGGTTTGGATCAGTGAGCTACTAATATACCGCATAATGCGTATTATATTATACTTTTAATATAGTCTGATATACACATACTGTGCATATTATAAACTTCCTTGGCCTACAACTCTGAGCTCCAGGGTGCAGTGAAACAGTCTAATATCCAGAGAGATTTCTCCAGATCCCAGACTCAATAATCTGCATGCATAGTCCAGAGCCGTATACTGCATATGCCCCTTGGCAAGACTCCCAAGCTCTGGCTCCAATGCGACTCTATTTGTGTTACAGTTACTGCAGTCTGTACTTTGAGATAAGGGGTCTGCGAGAGGGACAGAGGTGTAAGGCTTGACAACTCCATATTGCACAGAATGTATAGTAGAATTGTGCAATATCTTTGGGTAATTTAAGACATAAAAACCCTTCTTCATATTTCATTATTTTACAAATCGATTCATAGTGAAGGCAACACTGTTTAACAGAAAAATACTCTTTAAAGTCAAATTTAAAAGCAAATCTCTACAAATGAATCTAAATTTATTACAAAAACACAAAATAAAATGGGAAGCATCTCCGCCAAGTGTGTCCGCAGCAACCACTACTGTGTGATTTGAATGAATACAGCAAGTGCTGAGAGTGGTGAATGAGGAGTCAGCAGGCCGTCAATGGCAGTATAAAACAGTCTATAAAAGGTGTTCTGAGAAAGTGCGAGTCACCTCAACCACGAGAGGTCCTTGAGCACGCAGCCATAACCGGCCACCCAAAATAGTTTGCAGTTTGCTTCAGCAGAATGTGAGTATAGCCGCGGACAGACATAGAGGTGCACACTCACTCACTCAGGAATGAGTTCAAAACAACTAAATTGTCCTTTAGGAGCAAAGTCAGAGTCCAGACCTCATTCCAGTTCAGAATTACAGGACTTAAAAAAAACTTCTGTTCACTCACAACCCCCATGACACCTGACAGAGAGAGAGAGAGAGAGAGAGAGAGAGAGAGCAGTTTTCCAAAGAAGAATGGGGGGAAAGCTTACAGTATCCACACAAACTAAAAGCTGTAACTGCTGCCAAAGGTGTCTCTACTAAATATTGACTGAAGTGGGGGGGAATGGCTTTTTGATGAGCAAGAACTACTATAGCAAGGTCTAATGATGAGTATCTACATTTAGAGGCAGAACATGAACGATGCAAAAGCAGCAAAATCCATATTTTTTTTATGTTTGCGATGTATTTCACCCCATTTTGTGACGTCCCAACAGAATAGTGCCAGCATATCTTGTACTAAGATGATATCTGTGGGGAGAGGGCAAATACAGTTAAATCACCAGAGACAAGTCAGATGAAGAAATTATAATTGTTTATTATTAACATATGATATGTGATGATGAAGTCTTGACAGAGCCGTTGGTGCTTGGACTCTACAGGGAGATTTATCTTTTTGGTTATGAAGTGTGCTGTTGTGCCTCTGGCTCACACTGTGATGGAAAAGTTGGTCACACATAATCAAAGCTCGCAGTGAACCATGGTATGAAACTTGAGATTGCACGTCCCTGTCTTTAAAACGCTATGTTATTAAATCTCTTTTGCTGCTGGGAATTTGTGCAACTGACAGCTGATCCCAGCACTGTTTCTCAAGCGTCTTCCCTTCTATTGTAAAAGCAGTTCCAACATTGCCTTTGGTTAAATCGTCTGATTGTATGTCTGTACTGTGTGCCTGTGATGTAAACTAAATTCTGTCTGCTTACAGTACTACACCGTAATCAGTATATTAAGACAGTGCCAATTTTCAAAACCAGAGATGACTTTAAACAGGAACCATGTTACTCCCAGTATCTACACAACCATAGTTACAATTTGTCCAATATGTTGGTTTACAACCAAACATCGGCAAAACTAATGACATCCCCGTTTAGCTAAATGTTAGCCTGCTAACACGCTAAACTAAGATGGTGAACCTGGTAAACGGTATACATACCTGCTAAACCACCACCTTTTATGTAGATGTCCAATCAGTGTTGATGGTAAATGTAGTCAATTGAAGCACTAAATTCCTCAGTGAGGAAGCTGAGTTCTCCTGCTCGCAGAGCCGTTCCAGCAGTTGCCTCCATGTTTCAGGATGCATAATGCAGCCGCAGCCTCGGCCTGGACATCCACAGAAAAGGTGTCAAATGTCCCCCTTTAAGCGTGGCTACGTTAGCTTCTTGTGTGACTGTAGATTCTTAGTTTTGTTTTGTTACTTTTTTATTTTGTGAGGAACATGAAGTTAAAACATGACAAAAAGTTACAGAGGGAGAAATCATAAAATCATTTATTGTAATAGTGCTACATTACAAATGAAAACCCAGTGTTTAAAATGTAGGTATACTGCTGGATTTGGATACTATCAGTAACTTTGTCATCCATCCTTTTTTTAAAACACCATTTTCTGTAATTCCAAAAACTTTCAAGGATTTTCAAATTCTGGTTCCTAACAGATATATAAAGTAGTAAGTAACACACACAGTCACACCTACTTCACACTTCTCCAGGGTGTTAAACAGTAGTCAGGGATTTAGCTGAAGTCAATGAATAGCACACACAGGCGGAAGAGGCCTTTAGATGAAACACCTTATTCTAGGGAGGCTGTTTGCTTTTAGCATTGTCTTTTTCACTGGCTTGTTGGTGCATTTGTTACTCTCCAGCGGAGCTCACACACCTCTTTCTTTTAAAGTCATTTTCACAGGTACCAGATAGCAGCAGCCTGTCCCCCCAGTGCCCTCCTCAGGTTGAGGGAAGAACTACCTTTTAGACTGTACACTGCTCAGGGTGATCAAATCCAGTCTCCAGACTGCAGAAAGTGGCAAAGTATTGCTAATATACATGTTATTAGTCATAGTCATCTGTCCAGTGGCACTGACTACCAGGTTGCACCTCAAACTTCTGCATGAACAGAACATTTCGTCATGTCACTCTTACTTTTAATTACTTTTTTTGACATACTATACTGTGCCTTTTTTTGACAGCCTATTCTTTGACTTTTTTTTACATAGTATACGATGACTTTTGTTTGGCTTTTTAAAAAATATATACCATGACATTTTTCGACATCCTATACTATGACTTTTTATGTTCTTTTGACATATTACTACTTTTTTCAAAACGTTTTTTCAACTTACGAAACTGTTTTTAATGATGTTTTTCGACATACTATTACCTCTTTGAGTTTTTGTTACTTTATTATGACATCTTTCAACATACTATGACTTTATGACTTTTTTCCACATACTATAATTTTTCTTTTTACTTTCTATGACTCACTATACTACAACTTGATGAATTTCAACATATATACACGTACTATGATCGACATACCATACTATGACTTTCTTTTTTACTTTTTATGACATACTAAGACTTTTTTAACTTACTATACTATGACGTTTTATGATTTTTTTTTTTTTGACCAACTATACCACGATTTTTTTTATTTATTTTTTTTACATACTATAATACGATGACTTTTTAAACATAATATTCTATTACTTTATTACTTTTTCAACATATTGTTCTGTTACTTCTTTATTTTTCAACATTATGACTTGACATTATGACTTTTTTGACGTACTATACTGTGACTTTTTTATGACTTTTTGACACATGGTATGTCATTTTTTGCCATATGATACTATGACATTACTTACTTTCCTTGCCACACCAAACTATGGCTTTTATTTTGACTTAATGACTTTTGTGTGATTTCAGAAAGGTCTGTGCTTGCACAGTGAAAATTGGAAAGTAAATTGTGTTTGTGAGAAGAGGTACTCTGAGCAGCCATTTATGCAAATATAATTTCATGCCAAAACAAGTACCAAAATGGCAGTGCCCCATCTGATCTGCATAACCACAGCCTCAGCTGCTGCACTCCTCTCACTGTGATGTCAAATGAAATAGAATCCCACTGCATTAATGCTGCTATTCGCTATTACTGCCACTAAATCAGAGGCCTTTGGGTTTTGTCAAAAACTTGTATCTCGGGACATTGTCGTACAATGATTTATTTAGCTTTAGTAGTCCATGGTAATTTTGTATCAAATATTTCAGACAGATGTTAAGACTGTAAACATTTAAAAGAGACTACAGTTAAAACTAAATGACCGATCCTTGTTTCAGTTGTGACAGTTTGATGCCAGGGTGAGCATTCGGTACAAACAGGATAGTCAGCGGCACAGACTGTTGGGGGCGGTTCAAAGCGGATCAATATCTATACATTAAGAATGGATGAAATGACAATGTGCAATGTGAAAAGGGCCACTCGAAGTGACAAACGGTGGACATTTACAGCAAGACGCATCAATGCTCTACTTGAGGCAATATGGAGCCCTTGTTCATTACAGCGAAATGTGCCCTCTAAAGGGCCTCATATAACATCCAGCTTCTCCCATTGGCACTGACCGGGTCACACATTGTTCCATTAGATTATTATAGTCTCATTCTTAAAAAATGGGATGCAATCTTCAAGCCCTCATCATTGTGTCATGTGCTGTGGCATCAATATTGTGCAGGATGAGGAAACAATTCACCATCTTCTTCTCCTGAAACTATAATTGTGTGTATGTTGTTATTTCAATACAGTTTTTCTCAATTGCTAAAACACTAAAACCCATTGGCTGAACAAAGTTCTCAGTTGCCTGAACTCATTTAGCTAATTGTGCAGTCTGTTGTCAATACCTTAAACTGTTTCACATGGTAAAACACAATTTGCAGATCTCACTTAGACTTTTCAGCAAAACTCTAAACACATTCTCAGTCTCAAAACACATTCTGCACTCTAATGCACATGTCATCCATACTGGTAAACACAAGTGGCAACAATCAAATACAAATAGAGAACACATGTCATTGATTAAACACAATCACTCAAAATTGATTTCACTTGTATCAAATGATGTGACACAACCAATATAAGCCAGTTTAGAGAGCAAACAGGTGGTTGAACTTGGGAAGGACAAAGTCTGAGAATGGATAGAAGAAACAATGTGAGAGGACAAGGACGAGGACAAGTGTGTATGAGAGGTGGGCGACGAGGAGGAAGAGGAGGAGGGCAAGAAAGAGGAAGAGGAGGACGAATAGGAAGAGGAAGACAAAGAGTGGAAATATCTGATGAAATTCGAGCAACAGTCATAGACCATGTTATAGTCCACGGAGTGACAATGAGGGAAGCAGGACTTAGAGTGCACCCCAATTTGAGCCGATTTTCTGTGTCCACCATAGTAAGGACATTCAGAGAAGAGAACAGGTACAGTATGCTACTGTATTTTTGTAATTGCAAATTTACTGTACTACACTATATGCAGCTGTTTCAATAGACATTTGTAAAGTTCATCACTGTATGTATTGTACTGCATGAATATTTTTTGTAACTGCACATCTACTTTTTGTAGAACTGCAAGGCTGCCACATGCAGGTGGAAGGAGAGCTATATTCACTCAGGAGCAAGAGACCGTTATAGTGGGCATGGTCCTTCAAGATAATTTAATACGACTCAGAGAAATCCAGGAACGAGTGATACAAGACAACACACACTTCCAGGGAATCGACAGCGTGAGCATTTCCACAATTGACCGTGTCCTCCATCGTAACAGGATAATCTAAGAGATATTTTATTTGAGCAGCAGGGTCAAGAGCTAAATGAGAATCCCATTCCCATCAATGTGATAGTGCTGGACAATGTCAGTTTCCACCGAGCTGCTCAGGTAAGGGAATGGTTTAACATCAATGGTCAGTTTATGACCTTGTACCTCCCTCCATACTCGCCTTTCCTGAATGCGATTGAGGAGTTTTTCTCCTCATGGAGATGGAAAGTGTGTGATAGACAACCCTACACCAGAGTAAATCTGCTGCAAGCCATGGAATTAAACTGTGGTGATATAGGTGAGGAATCATGTCAGGGCTGGATACGGCGCACAAGAGGCTTCTTCTCCCGTTGCCTCAGGAGAGAAAATATTGCTTGTGATGTCGACAAAGTGCTCTGGCCTGACCCAGCCCAAAGACAAGAAGAAGCACATTGATGACATGTTGACTCCTTTGATTTTTGTCCCTTTTACTGTAGTATTGTATACTGTAGTAGGCCTACAGTGCATTGTAGGCTGTATAATGTACAATAAACAAATTGTATGGTCTTGAACATCGTGCTTTCTATTTGTTACAGTAGCAGTACTGACTGCTCAATAGATTTTGACTGGTTGCAGGTTCATATCAACAAAGAAGAAGAATTACAGTATCACAGAGACAAAGGACATGTTTGTGAGATGCAGGGTACAGTACTGTAAAAATAGGGGTACAAGGAGGAGGAAGAACAAAAGAAATTGCAAAGAGCAAAGCACAGTCGTAATTTCTGATCAATTTTGAGCTACTGTAATAGAACATGTTTTCGTTCATATGAAATTTGTTTTGAGATTAAAAATCTACTTCTCCCTGAGAACTATATGTTTTGAACAATGTGTTTTCTATTTATTGGTGTATTGTTTACTGACTGCTTGATAGTGTATATTATTTTGATCACTTTGTTTATGATTTGAGAGCAGTGTTTGATTTTGAGCACAGGTAAAACTGTTTGGAGGCGAAAGTTTCATTTTGCAAGAGGATTCAGAGGTTTTGTAAATAGTGCTTGAAGATGAGGTTTTGTGTTTACAGTTTTGAGAAAATGGGTGACCGTTTCAAGAAATGTGTCTTAGCAATCGAGAAAAACTGTAATATGTCTTTAAAGTGCACCTGCCATGATGTGGCAGGTGCACTCACATCACATGTCCTCAGCATCCTCCATCTTTCTTCTCTTTTACTCCTTTGCACCTAATCCACCTTTCTCTTCTGTGATGTCGAATCCATCTTTCCCTCACCATCAACCTACTGTATGCCTGCATCTCTTCTCCCCCCCTCTTCTCCCTCCTTGATCCACAAACCCATTCTGTCATAACTCTCTTCTTCACCCGTCGCTTTCCCTCCTCTTATATTATCCACTCATTGCCTTTCTCCTCCGTCTCCTCTCCAGTGTGACTGCGGTGCGTCTGCCGGACGGTTTATCTTTTGTCGTCTACGAGTTCTGGGATGGAGAGGAGGAGTGGAAGAGGTGAGTCTTCAATCACATGTAAGCCCTGGCTTATATCTGTCACTCACGCCAGTATTAAGAGCTTTTTGATTTTCTGCGACTTGTGTGAACAAGCTAAAAAAAAAAAAGCGTCAAAGTCTGGCTGTGGTACTAAAAATGAGAGAAATCAACAGGCAGAATGATACATCTGTAAATGTTGAGAATGTTGCCCCATTGCTGCAAAATGTTTTATTCCTAATGCACCTTAAAAGTATTAAAAGCCATTACCGAGTGTGGACATTCATTTTGTTTCTGAAAACGCCTGCTAGTCAGCACTCTGGCTCCCTGAAAGTCCTTCCTCGAGCTGAGCATGCCGTTTCTTCCTGCCATTGTTTTCATTGATTGGCGATGGCCGAATAAAGAGAGCACTCAGGTTTGTTCCATTACTGTCATGTGCCTGTTGGAGAGAATTCCTCCACCCTCATTTAATTAGCATTCTTCAGCACATTCGCTCGCTCCAAAAGTTGCTGAAGCACTTGAGTTGCGTCAGGTCATCATGATTAAGTGATGGTGCAGGGCATGAGGGGAGGCTGCTGATGTAGCTGCCTGCTGGTCTGAGTTTCTGCTCCACTGCTCGCAGCATCCAACTGCCATCAATATTTCAACTCTTACAGTTAGGCTGAAGGTCGTGCTAAACGGGTGAAGGCCATGTGTGCTTGCGGGCATTTACGAGCGGCCATGTAGATGAGTTTGCGCGCACACAATACATGATGTGTGTGAGTATATGTGTGTGTGTGTGCGCTCTCTCACCCTCCCTTCTGATTCCAGGCACCTCCAGTCGGCCCCCAACAAAGCCTTTCAGCATGTGAAGGTGGATACACTGTGCCAGCCGGAGGCGATGTCCTCTGTAGCTGTGCCAGGTCAGTGGAGAAATACTACAGAAGAATGAACAGTCCAATGATTTCAAACATTGCGTTCAGTTTACTGGTCACTGGTCATACATTGCCTGTGAAAAAAAATGTTGTCAAATATAAGTTTGAGTTAAAAACAAATAAAGAATACAAAGTGACATTTACCGGTTGCATTATGAGTGTGTGAGAGTAGGATTCAGTGTATTTTAGAGAGTGATCCACACTAGGGAGTCAAGTTCTGAGGCCTGTTCTGATCTCAGAACTCGACTTTGCGAGTAGACATAGCGACATATCTCTGGTAGCTGTCAACAGTGTAGCAAGAGAGAGCAGACGTGGTTAATCGCACCACTCGCTCAAACAAATGGCTCAGTCAAGCTCAGACGATTTGCTCCTATTTTATTTTCCACGTAGAGTACAACAGTAATTAAACTTTACAGTATTACAGAGTACAAGTAGATGGCAGTGAAAAACCAATTGACTCTCAGGGGCTGGTGGACTAATATAACAAACAAAGTAACTAGAACCAGCTACTGTAGACCCGCTATCAAAGAGACATAGCTTGATTTATTTTGAATGGTTTCTGTCTGATAAAATGTCTTGGAGAATGAAAATCAGTGATAAGAGGATATTTATGTTCGATAATATTCAGCATAGTCAGTGACTAAGAGGCAGACTGCCATTTGTACTTTTCTTTTCAAGTCTAACTCGTTTTTTTTCATCCTGCCCTCTCCTCGATCACTTCGACTTCTTTCTTTCTCTGCCTCGCCAAATTCCTCCTCATCTCCTTTCAATCGGTTTCCTCTCACTCCCTTCTCCGTCTGCACTGCCCTCTGGGCCTCATTTTCTCTCTCTCTCTCTCTCTAATCTCTATCTAACTTGTCATCCCTCTCTCTCTCTCCTCCTGCAGCCGCCTGGTGCAGCGTGAACAGGGACTGAGCATGAAGATATTCAGCGACTCGCCACGACTCCTGGACACTCCCCTCTTCCTCTTTGAACTAGCCCTCCAACCCTAAAACCTTTGCCCTCCTCTGCGTTTCACCCCCCTCCCCCTCCCCCTTCAACCCTCACATTTCTCAACTCTTTTTGTAAGTACATGTTTACACAGTGCAAATGAATGGTGTCAACTGCAGTGAAAATTGAACAAACAGTGCATTTTACAGTGTGAGATTACTCATTTTACTGGCTCAAGATATTGGATTATGTAACGTTCATGTTTCAAGTAGCTTTGAGCCACTGTAGAGTGGAGTTTGTCATGTAGCAAGGACCCTGGCGTTGAGTTTTTCATGTAGCAGTAACGTTTTTTAGGTGGAGCATTTTGGAATGTGGCTTTTCTTTTCTTCTAACTCCTGTTAGGGTCGACCACAGGTAGCTCATCTAGTTGGCCGTTATTTCTTAGTAGCTTCTCATTCCTGCTTCGGATGTTATTCTCACATCAGCCATTCTGCACCATCTAAACACCTCGTCGCCAGATTAGCTCCCAATCTCAGGAAAACTGAACGCTTGAATTTAGCTTGAAGGTTAGCTAACTCCCTAGCTCGCTGTCAAACTGACTTTTGAGTGTCTTAGTACGTCTCTGCACTGATATGGACAAGAGCCAGCAAAAAAACAGTAATATCGCAAACTATCTTAATAAAACATTCATTCATACAGTATAATAATACATACAATGTGCATACATGTAATATACATTTTTTTAAGACAACCCCTATTTTCCAAACCCCCGTTTTTGGAAAAGATTAATGAATTTTTGGATATGAGAATGACTCTGAATAATACGAGAATGGCAGATATAACACATCTGACATCTTAAATGCGTTTCATTACAAATAAAAACAATCCATGTCAAAGAGAATCCGCATTGACCTGCTTAACCAGAGAACCAGGGTTACAGTCGTAACTTTAGATTAGAAACGCTGACTGATCAATTTGAGCTTGTTGAGTTTGCTCACAACAAGTAGGCTACATGTGTGTACAATGGCTGCTGTGGGAGTAATGTCTATTATGGTATAGGAACTTATAATCATGTGTAAACACAGCACGTGGTTTTTAATGAGCAACAGAACCCTAAACCCAAATCTCTGTGAAGTCACGTATGATGATTGAATCCCTACATGAGTATGTGAAAACACCTGGCACCAAAGGCCAGCCCACAGGAGAGGGTCGGGTCAGTATCCGGAATTTTGAAAAGATGTCAATCTTCACAAATATTTGGGTGTGTAGATGATTCTGATTGACAGACACGTAGAGAAACAGAGTTGGTTATTTATAGTTCTTCATGTAGCTTTTATTTCATGAAAGCAGGGCCATGGAAGAGGTGAGATGAATGGATCGTTTTGCTGTCAATGGATAATTTGTGACTTAGACAAGAGTCTGCTGCTACCTTGAGACAGAGATAAGGGCAGCGCCTCACTGTTCTCCATGCAGCTGAGGTTTGTTTCATTTCTGCCTTCCGTTTGTGTACTCTGTGTCTGAATTGGCAGTGGGTAGCTCATATTAGCCGTGTGAGTCCAGTAGAGATTGTACATAATGAAAATGTTGTTCTATTATGATTATATTTGTATTTATGGACATCTTTTAGTGCTATGGTGCAAAGTTTTCCTCAGTGGAGGTGGCAGCAGCTCTCTAGGCGCTGCGGCTTCTCGTAATGGTGATTTTGAATCCGAACGCCTACCATCAGACACTTATACCCATCTGAATGACGTTGAATATGAAGCCTTAAACATCACAACATGGTAGAGGAACTTTCAAAGGGGTTTTCAAAAGGTGACTTTCTTCTTTTTTGGTGTGACGTAAACTCCCAGGAAGCAGGGAAATGCCCACTAGCGGTCTTTTCATTGTGGTACCTCTCGGCATCAGATTACACAACACTAGATTTGTGTTGCATTGGCATATTACTGATACGAAGAGTTTCTCCAATTCATTAGATATCTGTACATCAGACGTTTTCAGTTTACAACAGTTTACTGGAGAAATGACTTTGAAAAAGGACTTTGAGTCGCTTAGCATACCGTAGCTGATAGATCAACAGCCTCAGCATCAATATCACACAATGATCATGTATATTAACACTATCACCCCCAGCTATAGGAGACCAAGGGTCTCAGTGCCTAGGACTCAACTGGAGGTCAATACAGAAACACGTGGACCATCACAATCAAATGCTGAATGGGTCTAATTGGCTGGGTCTGGTCTCTCAAACAATTAGAAAAAGACCAAAGCCTGAAAATGACAGTATTGTTCAACTCTGGCAGTAAAGTGGCTCACAGTTCGACAGAAGGTCAGAGTTAATCTTTGACTCCATACTGTGCATACAAACCAAATAAATACAAGTCAATTCAAACCTCTGTAGTAAATTGTGTGACTACAAACTGGCTTAATTAGCAACATTTCTTTCCTTCAGCCCAATTGATGCTGGAGAACACTAACCCGAACAACCGTAATCAGGTAAACAAACCGGTTATTTTCTGAGTCCGGCCATTCTTGCGTTCCTGACCCACCCCCGCATCTGTTGTGCTCGTCCTCGATCTTGGCACAAATCTCACCTGGAATCAACCGCTCACCCTGGGGTGACCCTGAGGTTGAATTTAGGTCAAAACACCCAGACTCAATCCCCCCAGACGCCTCACCTTACCTCACCCCCACTAACACCACTATGAGCCCACCACTGTAATACAATCAGACTCTCACTCAGAAAGCACAATGTAAAAAATGAGTGAATATTGTGACTTGAAGATACAGTATATTAGAAGTTATTGAGTATGATGAGAGTATTTAAAGATATATAGTGTTACTGTTTTATCTGCTTAAAGATGTGTTGATGAGTCACTCTTTCTTTATAGCTCTATCTATACTTTCAAAAGGTGCCATCTTGCCATCCACCTCACTGTTGAGTCTATTTTCACATGTGAACGACAGCCAGCCTGTCATCTGCCACGACTGTGGTAGCAGTGAGTGGGGATCCAGCTACACTGATACTGGGCTGCATTGAGCAGGGCAGGACTGTGTGGAATGTGGAAGTGTTGAATATTATTACATATGCTGTAACAGAAATAGGTATGACAGTAGGCTTGTAGAACAGGCATGCAAATGTGTTGCTGCTTTATCTGTGAAATGTCTCTACTAATCTCTCAGTGTCTGTGTTAAAGGCACCCTGTGGAGTTTTTGACCACTAGTAGTGCTGTAGAGCAATGTTTCACTGAGTTGTTTGAATGGTGCAGGCCACAGGATTCACATTCTGGCCACTGGTTTCACGCCGTTTTGCTGAATAACGGTATATAGCAGTAACGTGCCGAGAACTGTAGCAGTGCACCAACAAAAGGCAGAGAAGACAAAGGCTGCTGGCAAATATGGATGTAAACTATGCGATAGAAAAAAAATGGCTTTGTTAATGTTTTATGAGAAAGAAAACTCTCAAGGAGTCACGTAATGGGGCTGTCATGTCTCTTAGCATCTGACTAGCTGCAGTTTAGGGTCCGGCTGAACCAGGACTCACAGGTTTTTAAAACGCAGCTACGTACAGGAGATAACCTGCAGCTAAATCTGAAGTATGAAGAAGTTACCTTAAGATCGGCGCAACACAGGTTCTTCAGAGGAATGGGAAATGAATTTGTACTTGTAGAGCGCTTTTCTAGTCCTACAACCAATCAAAGAGCTTTAGCGCTACACGTCATTCACACCCATTCATGCACTGATAGCAGCGGCTACCATGCAAAGTGCCACCTGCCCGTCAGGACTAAACGCATTCACGCATCGATGCAACAGCCTTTAGAGCCTTTGGCAGCAATTTGGGGTTAAGTGCCTTGCCCGAGGAGCCGGGGATCGACCCGCTGATCCTCTTATAGGACGACCCGCTCTATCTCTACCACCCCCAACACAACATCACTACCCACTTCGGTCAGTAGCTAAACAAAAAGAAAGGAAATATTTGAAAAAATATGAATGTGAAAATAACATAACCTCAAACAATCGGATGTACCCCTATCCCACCCCTGATCTAGAGTCGGGAATCAATAACATTTGATCTTGTACAGCATCCCATCATAGGCTGTGCCATCATCTCGTCCTTGATTATTAGTCTGTTGGTGCAGAATGCAGCAGCAGAAACCATATCTCCCTTTATGGCTCCCTAGAGAGTTCACTTTATGACTCTTGAAGCTACTTCCAGAGTCGTCTGTGGCTTTGGCTCGGTTATAATTTGTGATCTTTTAAACACTTTAAATCTGCACCAAGGCCACTCTGGGTTTGAATTGTTTTCTTATTTTTTTGGCGCGTGTGGGGTAAATAAGTACAGCCTGTCAAAGTTGCTTGGCTCTGATTTACAGGCTAAACATATTTTGGATGTATTCCACTCACATTCATTGCCGATTACTCAACACCACATTCTCACATATTAAAGATCGGATGAAAAAATAATTTTCCTTTAATCCCTCAAATGCCGTCTGCAGTAGGTTTAAATCAAACCTCAGATTCCGACAGTGATTTCAATCTCAGGTTTCTGAGGACGCAGCCTTTAAGAGACTTAAGAGACCACGTGATAATAACACAGGTTTAAACCCGTCCTGAACCCTAAACTGCAGCTAAGCTAATCACAGAGCGCAACAGTGAGAGACACTGAACGTAAACAGGACTTTGGCTTGTTTA